GTTTAGTTAATTAGTTAGTTAAGTAAGTTAGTAAGTAGTTAGTTACTTACTTAGTATCTACGTACGTCACTAGTAGTAGTAGTAGTGTCGTTCTACGTTACTTCCTCCTCTCTCTCTCTCTCTCTCTCTCTCTCTCTCTCTCTCTCCATACGCACACGCGAACACCACAGGCCCATTCATAGTTCCATCTTCAGTTACTCTCTCTACTTCAGAATTCCTTTGTTCCCTCTCTCTCAGACACACACCAGACATTCCCATGCGCAGTCTGATCTTCAGTTTCTCTGTGCCGTTTAGCTACTTTTCCTGTTTGCTTCAAGGTCCTTTACTACATTTTATATCGACATTTTGCCTCGTTATGTGATGCCTCTCGTATGACATAATCAGAAGCAATTCCATGAAAATATTTCTTTTTTATTTTAATTTTCTCCAATTTTCCCGTGATTGCTTTTTGGCATTTCTAGTCCCTTTTTTTTTTGAATTTTCATTTCTTTTATTATTGTTCATTTTCTTTTCTCTTTCCAAGAATAGAGGGCTCGAGAAAAAGAGGGCCTTATAGAGAATGTCGTAATAAATCCACAGTAGAGTTATACCACGACGATTGAATTTATTATCTTCATACATAAGAATAATGATTACTTAGTAGAAAAGATTTTTAAATCATCACAAACCACCTTTTTTGTGTTGCAATTTCTCGATTATTATATTAGTATTTGGTTATTTGAGTCAATGCAGCAGATGTGGTTGCAATCCTAGTTTTGATAACATTTGGTATATGAACTTGAACTTTGTTAATTTAAATGAGTGATCCATGTGTTTGTTTTGATACAATAAGGTTGATGATAGAGCCTGAATTACTCATACAAGCTTCTTCAGTTGAATTTTCAAGCATAAGAAACAAGCTTTTTGGTTGCTTGTTTAAAAATCTGAAGGCATTTTTCCCTTCATTTCACTACGAGAATAGTTGATGTAATTTAAGCCATCTCATACATTTCAAATTTTAGAAAGCCAAAAGATATTCTACTCCTTAGGGAGTATGTTGTCCACTTACTCCCTTAGGTAGAATTCCTAGTTTTTCGACCTTAAATTTTGGGGATATAATATTTTTAACACGGATTGTTCTTAATAATTTTTTCCCCCTAATTGTATCTTTTAAGCATTTTAAAAAAATACAATGTCTCGAGATTGAATAAAAATCGTCTAATTTTTAGAAGGTGAGACCTAAGTGTTAAAAAATTCAAATTTCATTTTCTTTTTATAATAATCATCTAGTGTTTCTCAAGTGCTTGCTAAAATTTCATATTGAAAAACTCCTGCCCCCTCCTCTCCCCGCCCAGGAAGCATAGTACACGTCCTCTTTTAGAAACATAGAATGGCATTATTGAAGTGTTTTAAAAAGTATTACCATAAATAATTGGAAATTTAATTGTCATTTTTAATGTGGCGTATGCACCTTTTGTTTTTACATTATAATTTTAACATGTCTCAACTTAAGATTAAGCAACTAATAGAACACAATTTTTACTATAAACGACTCGTAAATGTTGTAAGCACACATTTTACAGTTCTAACCTTTGTATTTGAGATAGTTGTAATCCCTTTGACCTATCTTTAGGGGTGGCAACGGGTTGGGTACTGTTGGATCTGGACCTAGACCTGAGTAGTATTCGGGTCCAAACCTAGACTTGAGTAGTATTCGGGTCCAAATTTTGGACCTGTACTCAGACTTGTTGGGTCGCTAGTCTACTTGTTGGGTCTCGATCGGGTCTGGTTGGATCTATTGCCACCCTATGACTATAAGTATGATTTATTTATTTTTGTCTTTTTTTTTACCATCATATACCTTATGACTATGAGTTTTTTTTTTTTCCACCAATAATAATATAAAGATTGTTAATATTTTAACCATATGAACACCTAGCGCACGGCTAAAGACAAACGATTGCTATTATATACCCTATGACAACGGGTACAGGTTGGGTCTGACTGAACCCGGACCCGAATAGTATTTGGGTCCAAAATTTGGACCCATACCTGAACTTGAAGTTGGTGTATTCATTGGGTCCCTGGTCTAAATAGTCCGTTGCCACCCCTACATATCCTTGTTTTCATGTATTTATACATGTCTATATATATATAGAATCGGATACATAAATTATGGGTAAAAAAAAATTGGAGATTTGCATAGAAGAGGAAATTACAAAGTCATGGCAAGCATTGACATATCGAAACTTTGACATTTCTTGTTATATCTTTTATGATAAAAGGTGTCCCTATTATCTAAAATTAAGATATTTTTTGTCGGAAAAAGTTCTTATATAAGGTTGTAATTTTATTTGTAAAAATAAAATTGCAATAATCTATACCGTTTATTTTATTTGGGCGATATATATTGACACCATCTTAAAAAATATACTATATATTAATGTTATTATAAAAAACGTGTCAAATGTACACCATCTAAATAAAATTGGTGATGTAAAATGTCACAATCTTATTTCCATAAATAAGCTATAAATAAGGTTAGAACCTTAAGCAAACCGCAACCCCCTTCTTGTTAACCTTTCACGATATCTAAATGAGATACATAGGCCGCGTGTGATTGGGCAATTTGACATTTTGAAATCTGTGTTTATACCAGTCAATAACACTTGGGCATGCGCCTTTCGAGTATTGTTCAGCTTGGAATATGCTTTGGATATCAAATTTCGGGGGTGTAATTTCTAAAAGGATGAAGTTTCTAGAAGTACTAGACTTTATAAAAACAGATTAAAGCCACACCGCAAATCTTCATCTAGAAAGCACTTTCGGCAATAAAAATCTCCATGACGAATCTAAAATCAATTTCCAACAACAACAATAAAATTTAAAACTCAAATAATAGTACAAATATTGTGGTTCTATAAACACTTATTCTTAAAGTGAAATAGACGATCTAGATAATTTGCTACAATAAATACTATTTTTAGAGCTTAAATTCAATCCGAGATGATTGATGTAAAGATTTTTCAATGCTTGATTTGTAATTTTCGATGAGTTATGAGATGAGGTTTTACTCATTTTAATAGGGTTGCAACTCTATCAAACAATTTTCCATTTCTAAAATGCACTAACAAAATTTCAAAGAATGGAAAATTTAACCACTACTCTCTATATACGTAAAACTAAATACGTTAAGATTGAAGAGGACCTATCCAATTTTTTAAGAGAAGATCTAGATATTCAAACATTCAAAATCCAAGTTGTTTTCTTAAAAATAATCATCTAATTATACTTAGATGGTTGACAACCTTTCATATAAAAAAAATCCTTCCAAGTAACTATGTTGCCCCAGGGAGTTGTACAATAAATGCTCCCATGAGGGCATACCATATTATTAAATTTGCCTCTTTCTCACTGGCGGCTCTGAACTTTCCAACATATTTTCAAAAAAAATATTTTGACAGGGTTGGAGCCTTATCCAAATAAGTAAATCCTCATTGTAAAACTCATTTAAAATTATAGCTCTATCATCAAACTAACCTTAAAAAATTTATCATTTTAGCCATGGGTATGTAGTTGGAAAAAAAGAAGAAAAATTTCAAATACTAAAAAGATTATACTGTAACACATTATCTAAGCCGTTTATTTCACCCTAAATATGGATCCGTATGATCTGTACCATCTTTTGAGTTTTAAATTTCATATGTGGTGTTGGAAATTGATTTAGAGCCATCATGGAGGGTTCCGACGCATAACGTACTTTTCAAATGAGGATTCGAGGTGAGGCTTTACTATATTTTTATAAAACCTAGGCATTATAAAAACCGTTAACACGCGTGTATATCCTAATCAATTTGGACTAAAAAACGAGACTGTGGTGGTGGTAGTTGTACCACCCGAGCCTCAAATAAAAGTTATAACCTCCATTCTCACTAACACCTTCAAAAATATTGACTCTTTCCAAATCGAATAGGACACTATATTTTTTTATCTAATTTTAAAAATAAAATAAAATAAAAGAATGGACTCATAGGAATTACTTGAAAACAAAAACTCTCTCTCTAACACTATTTTCAATCTGTTTGCACGAGGTTTATATAAGAAAGATGGACTTGTGTGTGGGAATTACTTGTGAACAAACGGTTTCTCTCTCTACCCCCTCTCTCTTTCTCTCCCTAAATTACTTTCTTGGTGCGGTTTCATCTATCTCTCTCTTTCTTGGTGCAATTTCACATTGTTATTTACTATTTTATTGCTTCTACTAATGTGGGGGCCTTCCTCCCCTGTATTGATATCCTCAAATGCCTTGCTTCTTCCAATGACAAAAGTCTTCTTTTTTTGTCTTTGCTCATTCCATTAGCATTGTCTTTATCACCCTTTCTATTCTCATATAGATCTTTGCTTTAATCGATATTTCCATTCTCATTGATTTTTGCTTTAATCGATATGGGTTATTTATGAAAAAAGAAAAATAGCTCATAAGAGACTAACTTTTTTAATAAAGCATAAACATGTTTTATGCCAAAAGATTATTACTCCTGCAGGAGCATTATCATCCATTCACTCCTCTTGGGCAAACCTTAATGTTGGAGTTATTTTAGGACCCAAATTTGGGGATACGACATCTTCGACTTACGTACCAAAACACACATATTTAAGAAAAGTTCTATAAGACAGCTAGGAGACTAATTTTGTTTTATAAGATGGAATGTTGGACATTCAATAAATAACATAATACCCATATGATGAGTGTAGCTGAGATGAAGATGTTGAGATGGATAAGTGATAAAACAAGAATGGATAAAATTCGAAATGAATACTTTTGAGATTTAGGTATGGCTAAGATATTAAAAAATAGACTTAGGTGGGCTTACCATGTGCAACATAGATCCAGTATAGAACCTATTAGAAGGTGTAAGTTAGTTTAAGTGGAAGACTAAAAAAGCGCAAGGGATATGCCC